ACAGGCATGTGCCACCATGCCCAGCAAAGCATATACTTTTCAGATATCCCCCCAGCCATTGTTGATGCCAAGGTAAAGAACTTTGTTAGACAGCAAGTTTGGGGAAAAGGGTAAGTTACTTGTCATTGGGATTCGTCATGCTTGAGATGTCTGTGGGATGATGATTTTCAGGCATTTGGTGTTGTGGCTATGGAGAGATCTAAAAGCTGTAACTGTGCTATCTAAGAACAGCTCCTGTACAGTTCACAAAGAACTTTCTCATGTTTTCTACTCTGATATGATCACAACCCTCCCTGTGAGGTAAGTAGGAAAAGACTGTTCTCACTTTCCCTAATGGACCCCTTCCCAAAACACACCACACACACACACACACACACACACACACACACACGCACACACAGGCTCTGAGAGATGAAAAGACATGTCCAAGACCATACAGTCCCACGGCCAACACCTAAGCCCTCATCTTCTAACAAGGAAGCCATGGTTCTTTCATTTATTTTGGTTTTTTCCTTTAAACCACACGGCCTGTCCTATCATTGCAATCCATAGCCCTGACAGTTTACAAAGTACTTTCTCATACTTAATTTCATTTGCTTCTCACAACAAAAGGGAGGAAGGGCAAGTATTTGTTGTCACCCCCACATGTGAACTGTTGCCCCCTCACCACGCACCTCAGCTGGGACAGAACACAAGTGATCCCAGCTACCCTTGTGGCCAAGCACAGGCCACGCCCATCTATGCCCTCAGGCATAAGCCTCACCTCCCCAGCCTCTAAAACCTGAAGCCATAAATTTGAAGGAGAAACAAATGTTGTTTGCAGAAGGCATATAAGATTGCAAGCATTTCCTCTTCTGCACTTTACATTTTACTATGCTAGTAATTCTCAGGGCCCCTTCCTGATCACCTGACCTGGTAAGATCTGTGACATCTAGTGGGGAGTTTAAGTCCTCCAAAGTACTGGGCTGAAGGCAAAGAAAGATGAAGAGTTAATGGATCTGGGTATGGTGGCCCATACTTGTAATCCCAGCACTTGGGAGGCTGAGGCAGGAGGATCGTTGTGAGTTTGAGGTCAGCCTGAGCTATAGGAGTTCAAGGCCAGCCTGAATAAGACCCTGTTTCACAAACAAAACAAAACAAAACACAGGAGTGTTAATGGGACTGGATAAACCCATGGCTGCCAGGTAGCTGTGACTCTGCCTGGGAAGAAGGGGCCCTTCCAGGGAGGTCAGACTCTTCAGAGGCTGTGAGACAGTTTTGTGTTTGAGTGTGTGTGTGTGTGTGGTGGTGGTGAGGATCGAGCCCTGGCCCTTTGCACCAACCTGCATTTCCAGCCCTTTTTATTTTTAGTTTGAGACAGAGTGTTGCTAAGTAGCTAAATTGCCCAGTCTGAGCTCAAACTTTCGATCCTCCTTCCTCAGCTTCCCAGAGTGCTCTGGTTACAGGCATACACCACCACACCCAGTTTAGCTCATGCTTTTCTAATTGTAGCATTTACCTTCTTCTCTAAGAAACTATGGGACATTAATGGGGACTTAGCTCAGTGGTTCTGCCATCTGCCTCACAAGCGCAAGGTCCTGAGTTCAATCCCTGGTACCAAAAAAAAAAAGAGACTATAGGACAATTCCCAGGGCTTGTGGCATGAGTAGCTTGGATGTTCTAGGGCAGTGGTGGCAAACCTACAGCATGTGTGCTGCACCAAGCTGTTTGTATCATTGAAAGCTCTAAAAGGTCCCCCATCACTGTTCTAGGGCGTGGTGTGCAGTGGGCAAACATTTGTCTTTGTCTGGGTCCCCTGGTTATTCTTCAATGGAACCACCATCCTAAGGATTTCCTAAAAGGCCTCTTAAACCACAGTGGTTTTAATTCAAAGCTAAATATTCTTCAACCCAAACTAGGATTAAATGTATGCAATGAGCCGAGTGTGGTGGTACACAGTTGTAATCCCAACACTCTGGGAGGCTGAGGCAGGAGGAGCACAAATTCAAGCCCGGCCTGCACAATTTAGCGACTGTAACCAAACTCTGTCTCAAAATAAAACAAACACAAAATTGATGGGGTTATGTAGCTCAGTGTAAAGACCTTGGGTTCAATCCTTAGTACCACCAAAGAAAACCGAACAAACAACACACACACACACACACACACACACACACACACACCCCAAACATATACTGTACACAAAAATTTAAGCTATATTTTTGCAAACCTCAGAAAAACAAGTTTCTTTTGGGAGGGAGGTTAATAAGGTCTCAGTATGTTGTCCAGGGTGGTCTCAAATTCATGGACTCAGTCCTTCTGCCACATCCTCTCAAGTAACTGAGACTATAGGTGTACAAGGTGATGTCCTTTTGTTTTGTTGAGACAGGGTATCACTATGTAGTTCAGGCTAGCTCAGTGATCCTCCTGCTTCAGCCTCCCCAATTCTGGGATTACAGATGGGTGCCATGCCTGGCAAGAATCAATGTTTTTTGGGTTTTTTTTGAGACAGGGTGTCACTGCGTAGTTCAGGCTGGGTTTGAACTCAGTATGTACCCCTGGCTGGCCTGGAACTTGCAGCGATCCTCCTGGCTCAACCTTCTGAGTGCTAAGATTATAAGCGTGCACCATCACACCTGGAGAGAATCATTTAAAAGGAAAAAGATGATCATAGATGCTGAGAATAAGGCTGTGGATCCCCTGGCAATCACAGGCTTCAGTATGAAAAGCATTCCTTCAATTTTTTTTATTTTAAGCCTTTTTTTTTTTGGTACTGGGGATCCAACTCTGGTCCTTGCACTTACAAGGTGGGTGCAGTGCCACTAAGCTAAATCCCCCGCCCTACAATTTTTTTGGGTTTTTTTTTTTGGTATCGGGGATCATCGAACTCAGGTCTTTGCGCTTCAGCTGCAGGCAGTGAAACCACTGAGCTAAATCCCTGGCCCCCAATTTTTTTTAAAACAATACTTACCATAACCAACTCAGGACTGTCCTGGTGGTGCCTTTCCCAATGCTGCTGGAATTCCAGATCTGATGAGACTGGGCCATGTAACACCATGCATCTGTCATCGAAAAAGTCTTAGAATTCTGGATCCTAGGCCTCAGTCAGTTCTGCTGACAGCCTACTTCTACTTTGTGGAAATTAAAGACTTTGTTTTGTTATTTGCTTTTTGCGAAAGGGTCTCCCTATGCAGTTCAGGCTGGCCTTGAACTCTGTGATTCTCCGGTGGTGAGTCACATTCCTCAGATCAGAGCCCCTTTCATAGACAGCCTGAGAAGGTGCCCTGCCCCTTCTGAAGAGAAAAACATGCTGCAACCATGAAGTCAGTTTTCAAGAAATGAATGAATGGCCAAAGCAGGTATAAACCTGCGCTCTCTCCCGAGTTGCTAGGGCACTAAGTCAGGAAGCACCTCGGGACACATTGCTACTTAAGGGATTCTTCATCGCCCTACGCGCCCCCCTCCCCACCTTTCTGTGGTAGTCCAGGCTGGCCTTGAACTCACCGTAATCCTCCTGGCTCGGTCTCCTGAGTGCTGGGCCCATATCTTTTTTTTTTTTTTTCTCATACCGGGGATGGAACTCCTGATCTCGTGCTTGTGCGGCAGGCAGGCAGGCACCTGAACCACTGAGCTAAATCCCCGGCCCCAGGGCCCATATCTTTTTTGATTGCCCTCTCCATTTATCTGTAAACTGACTTTAGTGAAGTCTTGCCCCCACTATGCACAGGTTGGAGGGGATGCATAAGCTTTTTTTTGTTGGTTTTGGTTTTGGTTTTGGTACCAGGGATCGAACTCGGGACCTTGGCGCTATCGAGGCAGGCGGCGGAACCACTGAGGTAAATCCCTGGCCCCAATGCATAAGCTTTTGAGTAGGTCCGGAGGACAGACATTTGAGTCAGAACTTATTTCTGTGTGATCTGGGGTGACCGATTGGTCCTCTCTCTGTCCCCTCTGAGCTACAACCCCGCATGAGGTCTGCTTTATTTATCCTGAACCCATTTGTCTGCTAAGAAAATAGAAGGTTGCTAGAAGATGTGCCTAGGTTGTGGCCCTGTCATCTTTGGCCAGCACAGGAGGAACACACCAAAGTCATTTTCTCAAATACAGGTATTAGGCAGTCATGTTCAAAATGCTTAGGACTTGACATATTGAAAACGTTAGGTTTGTTTTTTTTTTATTTTGGAATGCTTGCTTTTATATAATGAGATATTTTGCAAATGGGGCCCAGGTCTTAACACAAAGTTTATTTATGTTTCCCATGCACTGTGTACAGATAGCCTGAAGATAATTTTATGTGGTATCCTTAGTTCACCTAAATTTTGACTGAAACCTGTTCCATCAGGTCAGATGTGGAGTTTTCTACTTGTGGTTTCACCTCACCACTCGAAAACTTTCAGATTTTGTAGCATTTCAGATTTTGAATTTGAGGACTAGGAATGCTTATCTTATGTTATAATCCTTACAATTCCCATTTAAAAAGCCCCACAAGTTATTTCTACTATGGAAGTCTTCAAAAATAGCCAACTCTTGCCTTAAGAAACTTTTTAAAGTGCAAATAATTAAATGAGATCTTCCTGTCTCCGAAATGGAGCTAGTTAATTTCTGCCTTCCCTAATTGAGGAGCTACATAGTGCGGCAGAGTGCACCTAGCCCAGTAGAAAGCCTCCTTTTGGATAAATCCTGCGACCGCGCCTAGCCAGGTCCCCGGGACTATTCCCCTGTCCAGGGACAGACAGCTAAACTGCACGTGACCTCTCACCCGAGCCGGCGCCTCTTCCTTCGGGGCGTGGCCACGCGGGGTGGCTTGGTAGCCATTGGCCGGGAGGCGGGGCCCGCGGCGGGCGCACACGAAAGAAAAGGCCCCTGGGGGCGTGGCAAGGTGGGCCGCCGGTGGCTGCTATTGGTCGGGGGCGTGCCGGGGCGGAACCCCGGGCGCGGAGGCCCGGGGGGCGCGCGGGGGAGGGGAGCGGGGAGAGCCCCGCGGGCGGGCGAGGGACGCGGGGCGGGGCGGGGGGGGGCGGGGTGCGGTGGGCGAGACCGCAGGCGGCGGGAGACGCGGCTTCTCGGCTTGCACCTGAGACCAGACGTTCCTGGTCCTCAAGGCTGAGTCCGTGCGGTCCCTGCCGCCATGAACCGCTTCAGGGTGTCCAAATTCCGGCACACGGTGGCCCGACCATCCCGCCGAGAGGTGAGTCCGACTGGCCGGCCCTGCGCCCTTGCCGCGGCTGGCGCCCTCCTCTGCGTGAGCCCCGCGGGGGACTCCTAGGAACGCAGAACTCCCGCCTCCCGAGCCCTGCTCCCTCGGCGCGCCCCCTTCAGGATCGGGACCGAGCGTCCTGGCCGCTCTGTCGCTGCAGGGAGGCAGAGTCCAGCGCTCGGGGGACTCGCCCTACAGCTAGCTGATCGCCGCTCTTTGCCGGGCCCGGGACCTCACTGGCGGCGCTGCCCTCTCGGCTGGGGCCAGGCCTGAGGCCTGCGAGGCTGTCTGCTTGCTTTCCCTGCTTCCGGTCGGCCTCGCTGGGGGGCCGAGGCTCGGGCGCTGCTGCTCTCCGGCTCCTTCTTCCTGCTGCCCCGGGTCTTTCCTGCCCGGAGGCGGGTTGGAGGAGAGATGCAGCTCTTACCTCTGGCCTCAGAGCCCGCATGTGTCAGATGGAGAGGGGAGAGGGGAGAGGGGAGAGGGGAGAGGGGAGAGGGGAGGGCCCCCTCCCCACGCAGGCGCGGGCTCATCCTCAGGTTTCTGCCGGCGCTTCTTCCTCCGCTTGCTGCTGAAGCAAGCTCTTCCTACTGGGGTACTGCTGTCCGCGACTGGGTGGGGTCTGAAGAAGACTTGAGCTAAGTGCTGGGAGTACCTCTGATTCCCAGAAAGGGAGGAGGCTTGACGGTGAACTTCAGAGATGATGCCGCCCCCTGTGTTATTTGGAAGGCCTGGGAGTGTCTTCGGATAATTGGGGCTGTGAACTGACCTCTGATGAGCCCATCAGCGGCCCAAAGCAAGTCAAGGCTGCTGACTTGGAGCAGGAGCGCCGTTTTTATTCTTTGGACAGTATTTCCTCTGCGCCTCCTATGTGTTGTGCCCAGCTGCTGGAGCCACCACGGTGAACATGATAACATTTTCTTTACTTTGTTGTACTTATAAAACCTCAGTGAGGGAGACAGCCAGCAAAGAGAGAGACGTACAAGGGCCTTGTAAGTTTTAATAAGTGCATTGAAGAACACACATAGGGACTCAGATGGAGAATGAGAAAGTGGGGTTTGATCTCGGTAGGTGGTGGAAGCAGGCTGCCTGAAGGAGGTGACATTTCAGAGGAGGCCCAAAGGATGAGAAGTGGGAAATCCTGGTGTGGGAATGCAAAGTGGGCCAGAGTGGATGGGAGGTACTGACCAAGGAAGTGTGGTGACAGATGAGACCAGAACAGTCCTGCAGAGTAGAGTCCAAGGGCCATGGGAAGAAGTTTGGTTTTATTTTGAGTGCAGTGGGGAGCCATTGAAAGGCTGAGGGAAGTGTTTAGTGTTTAGATTTGCAGTAAGACCATAGCTCTGGGTGCAGTAAGTCCTGTACTGTACTGATGGAGGGCTCTGGAGAGTACTTGAGGGGCCTGGTGCTTTCTCCTGGGTGGTAAACAGAATGGAACCAGGGATTGCAGGATTAGGAAGGTGGGAGGACAGACACGCAGTTCTCCATTTAAGAAACATTGTGTGCCACTGTATTTGTACTGTGAGCACGAATGAGGAAGGGAAAGTAATGCAAGGCCCTGCTCTGCTGTTCTACCACTGACAAGTGAATATTGAAGTAGGAGACTGAGGTGGTGATGTTGTGAATAGGTGACTAGGAAGTGTGGGTGCTCTGTCATTAGAGGCAGGAAGGAACAGAGAGTGGTGCTTTGACACCAACAGGAAATATGAGGACCTCGCTGATCTCAGTTTCAGAAATAGTGCTCTTCTGCCTCCCTACATGTGGGAGTGTTAGCATCAACGCATTTTCGTGAGAGTACAGCATTCACTCATCTAGGAGACTTGGTGGAAGGGCATGTTCTAATGAGGCTAGGCCTTGATTTTCTGTCCTGAGTGTGGGTGTTTTTCTCTTTTTGCTTGGAGGAGCCCCTGGACTCTGGTGGAGCACTCAGCAGTGGAGTTGGGAAAGCAGAGCCCATCTTCTGTTTTAGTTGCTTATTGCTCCATCCTCTCCTTCCGGCCCTCCTCTCCTTTTAATAGAAACAAGCCCCTGTCCACTTCCTGCTGACAACCTCCTCCCCCTGGTTAAGAAACTGAGTGATAGGGCCAGGGGTTTAGCTCAGTGGTTCCGCCACCTGCCGCGCAAGTGCAAGGTCCCGAGTTCAATCTCCGGTACAAAAAAAAAAAAAAGAAAGAAAGAAACTGAGCAATATTAATATTACCTTCTTAGTGACTTTGTTTGTTTGTTTGGTACTGGGGATTGAACCCAGAACCTTAATGCTGAACTGCATCCCCAGCCCTTTTTTTTTTCTATTTTGAAACAGGATCTTGCTAAGTTACTGAGGCTGGAGTCGAACTTTCGATCTTCTTGCCTCGGCCTTTCAGAGTACTGGGATTACAGGCATATAGCACCATACCCATTTCTGACTTAGGTTATTTCAAGAACATTTTGCATTTTCTAAGGGACTTCATGAGTTGAAACAGGGTTTGACTCAAAGGAATGCATCTGTGATGGTGCAGTTTTAAAGTAGAGTTCCCTGAATTATGCCTCCACCCCATCCCCTTTCCTTTTGGGGGGGGGGTACTAGCGATCGAACTCAGGACCTTGCACTTTCAAGGCAGGCACGGTGCCGGTGCCACTGAGCTAAATCCCTGGCCCTGCCCCATCCCCTTTCCAGCATGAGCAGAAACCTGGCCCTCACCACACTACACCTTTCTTATTCTTTATTTTCAGGCCTGGATCAATGGCATTCGTACAGGAACCACCCCCTTGTGTGGGAATCATATCAAATCGAGCTGTAGCTTGATTGCCTTCAATTCTGACTGTCCAGGTAGGGGAGTGGATATGGGTGAGGAGGGAGGGCAGGCTCTGTGCAGGGTGGAGAGTTAGAAGTGGTCTGGGGTAGGAGGCTCATAGATTAGAACAATGCAGGGCCTTAAACCTCTACAAACATTAACGTGAAGTAATCAGATCAGTTTTGTGCTTGTATATAAACTATACAGTAAGCCCCTGACTTAATAAACACTTGAGTTGCAAACTTTCACAGATACGAATGGACCTCACGTTAGGAACCTTCATAGATAGGAACAGATTGCAGAAGTAGCTCAGGTGTGTGCTGGACATTGTCACAATTATTCTGCTGTGGTTACTGTACAGTAATAGCGTACAGTAGTGGAGTGCTCAATCAAAGCCTAGAATGTCTGGAAGCAAGAGGAAAAGCAGTGGTGATGTGGAGGGGACTGCTAGGAAGTGCAAAGCAATATACATTGTATATTTATGTCAAAGGTGTATAAGACCCACTTTGTCGGACTTACAAACTAAACTGGTTTATGAACGTTCTCCGAGAATATTCCCAAGGATTTACAGTCATGGTCATGGCTTCAAAAGCATGCCCAGAAGGGCACGGAGGGAACTGATCCATGTATTTCCAGCCATCTTCACTGGCTATGTCTGTGAAGCCCCTGGTGGCTGGAGTCATTAAGAATGCAATGTTGTAGGGCTGGGGATTTAGCTCAGTGGTTTTGCTGCCTGCTGCGCGAGTGCAAGGACCCGAGTTCGATCCCTGATACCAAAAAAAAAAAGAATGCAATGTTTTGAAAACTCTTTTTATTCGTTAGGTCTCTCTTGGCTGCTGGTGATAATGTCGACCTCAAATGAACTTAAGCAAAAAATAAATACCTTTTTGACTTGCCTAAGAAGTCAGGGGACAGGGGCAGGTGATGTAGCTTCACAGTAGAATGGTTGCCTAGCATGTGCAAAGCCATGGCTTCCATTCCCAACATCCCTCCCCAAAATAAAGTAAGTCAGAGGCTTCAGGCAGAGCCGATCCAAGTTTGAATATGCTGTCATCCCTGACCATTTGCTTAGTTCTTCAACCCTGTTGTCTTGGGGTGTAGGGTTTTTTCTTTCTTTTTTGGGGGGGTACTGGGGATCGAACTCAGGACCTTGCTCTTGGAAGGCAGCCATGGTGCCACTGAGCTAAATGCCCAGCCCCATAGGCTTTTTTCTCAGATCAGGGTGGGAGAAGTGCTGGTCAATGGCCCCAAGCTAACCTTTTATAGGAGGTACAGTGTGATAAAATTGTAAGTCTTCTCCTGGTGGCTTCTGTATAGCCAATGCATGGGTAGTTCTTGGGTTGGAAGAAACTAACCCTGGGCCATTCGCTGTGTCCAAAGGGCTGTGAGCTCATGATTAGTGGATGTTCTCAGGAGGTCCTAGGCTGAGCCTTTTTAAAAAAAATTTATTTTATTTTATTTTTTTAGGCTGAGCTTTTAAGTTTTCTCTCTTATGGGAACCCTTGGCAAGTATCCCAGTTAGGCTTAAAGTCAGAACCCCTGTGTTTGTTTAACAGGTGTATTGGGCATTGTGCCTCTGGACAGCCAAGGAGAGGACAAGAGACAGGTGGCCTACCTGGGATGCCATTCAGGTGAGTGGGTGCCTGGAACTTGACCCCAGAGCCGGAGATTAATACACACCTGATCCTTAGCACATGCCTTGTTATCCTCACTCAGTGTTCTGTGAAGTGGTTGTGTTCAGAAGGCTGCATCTGATTTAGAATTTGGGCCTGGGTGGAGGGGAGGGAGGCTGGATATTCCAGGTTCTCAAGCTGGAAAGGGGGATAGTATGTGGTGCCAGACTGAGGCTGGCTGTCAGTCTGAAGACTCACCCCTACCTGGCTGTTACCCTTCCTTCTTGTCTTGGAGTCCAGCAGGGCACCTCTTACTTACCACTTGGCTCTCCCCAGCCAAGCCACCCATGGCCCTCCAAGAAAGTGTCCTTGTTGGGCTGGAGGATGGAGATGGGACTTCACAAAGGGCTTTTGTCTGCTGCAGCTGTTTCTGGGGCTGCCTGGCTTGCCTTGTCCGCCCGTCAGCTGCAGCGTCTCTGGGCCCTCTGGCCTACACTCTCGGCTGCCTGTTGGGAGGTGCTGGAGGTGAGGAAAAGGAATAGATCCTTGGTCCTTTAGCCGGGTGAGCTGCTCAGTGTAAGAATGATGATAATGAGGGTATTTAATACTGTGTGCTAAGTAACATCATTTGCATTTTCTGATCCAAACTTTTAGAAAAAGAACTATTGAAGCAACATGTACATACCATAAACATTGCTCTTATAAGTGAATAATTGATGATGTTTGTTATATAGAGTTGTGTGCATCTCCATTCAGTTTCAGAGCATTTCCATCCTTCCCCAGATCATTCCCTTTGGGGTTAACCCGAAAATACCTTGGGCACTACAGCCTCAGGCAACCATTGGTCTACCTTCTGCCTCAGTAGCAGAGACTTGCACATTATTGTCAGGGTCTCATCCAGCAAGCTGTCATTTTTATAAATAGTTTTATTGGAATTATCTTGTCCATTCACTAGAGTGTAGTCAGTGGCTGCTTTCTTGCAATGACTGCAGAGTTAAATAGTTGTTTCTATTGAATAACTGTTCAATATTGAATAGTTATTTCTGTGGTGCTGGCAGTTGAACCCAGGGCCTTGTATATGCCAAAGTTGATTAGTTGTGTGTGGTCCTGAAATCCTAAAATCTATACTACTTTGCCCAGGGGCCGGGGAATTAGCTCAGTGGTTTCGCCGCCTGCCTTGCAAGCGCAAGGACCTGAGTTCGATCTCCAGTACCCCCCCAAAAAACCAACCTACTTTTCAGTTAAGAAAACTGAGGTTCAGGGAAGTTAGGAATCTAACTAGTGTTCACATAGCTGCTGGCAGAGCCAGAATTGGTCACAGAATTGTGATCCTATGTTTGTTTCTTAATACCTTTTTCCCTTGGGAGAGCCATCCCATATTGGTGATGTTTGAAAGGTGGTGAGCTCCCATCACCAGCTTTTCTAAATAGAAGCTGGACTTACCTGTGGGTGGATTGTAGCATCATGGTAACCGAAGCTGTTTAGAGTTTCTCCCTGCAGGAGCCCTGCCAAGAAGTAGTTCTTGTGGTTAGGTGAGCTCTAGCTCCCATAGAACCTGCCCTGGAGATTCCAGTTACCATTCTGCCCACATAGGTGCTGGCAGTGGGGGGGACACTGAGCAGGCTGGGCTCGGGATGCTATCCTACCTTTGAAGGCTCCCTGCCTTCAGAAGCCCCTGCAGACTCTTATCTCAGGGCCACACCTGCCAACAGCCTGCCAGCCAGAGAGAGCAAAGTGACAGGGGCCACTGGGGGCAGTTCTGGGGTATGTGCTGTGGGGAAAGCAGCATAATGGCACACTGATGAGCACAGGTTCTGTTACCAGAGCACCTGGGCCTGATCCTTGGCTCCACCCCTTTGTAGTTGTGTAACTCTGGCTGAGTTACCTCTCTGAGTTTCAGTGTCCTCATCTTCCAGCTGGGGTGATGCTGCAGCACCACCTGATGGGTCATTGTGAGGATTTGGTGTGCTCTGCACATGTAAGGACTTACCGCAGATGCACTCAGATTACTCAGTTACGTTACCAACACTTGTTGTCTTGGGAGATACCAGGCTGCCTGCACTGCTGGCTGCACCTGGCTGGGAACTTATCCCTTCCTGCCCCAGCAGGAGGGGTGGCATGTGTTATGAGGCTCGAGGACCAGGACTGTTGTGGTCCTGCTGTCTGGGAGTCAGGCCAGGGCCATCCGAAGGGGTTTCTGTCTACATTTGTCCCCTTTTCCTGCTCTCCTCTGGCCATGAGGAAAACAGCCCTGCAGGTGGCTGTGCTCCTCATTCTGGGATTACCAACCTGTAGTCCTACCACATCCCCACCCACCCCACTGCCCTCCATACCTCATCCCCACCCCATGCCACAACCTCATTTCCCCTTGGGTTCTGGCTCACTCAGTGCACCCTCACATCCCCTTCCCACCACAAAGAACTAAGAGACCAACTCAAGCTTGATTAAGCCCAAAAGGGATTTGTTGGTAGACTCCTGGGAACCTTCTAAATGGAAGGCACAGCTGGATGTGCCACCTTAGGAGGGGCCGGGCTGGATAGTTGTATCCCTGCAGATGCCCGGTAAACAAAGGAGCTTCCTGTCCACATTCCTGCTGACCTCCTGATGCCAGGGTCCTGGGCCATCCATGGTCCACAGGACTCTTATGACATGTGTTCCCCCACAATCTTGTCCAGAGGGGCACTGGGCTTGTAAACTTTCAGCTGTCTCTGTCAGGGCAGAAGGATGACTTTCAAAGCCCTGGGCTTTGGTTTAGGCTTGGAGATGATTCTGCTAGGTGGAAACAGGATGTTTTAGTTCAACCCCTCATTTCCCACAGAGCTGGTCACTGACTTGGACTTCTCTCCCTTTGATGACTTCCTCCTGGCCACGGGCTCCACTGACAGGATGGTGAGTGGAGCCAGTTAAGTGGCTCATGTCCCCATGCTAGCACCCACCCACCCCTCCTGCTGCCTCTGATCTCTTCCCTTCCCTCCAGTCCCATGACCGCCAAGTGCTAAGATTCTGCCTTGCCTTTACACTGCATGACTGCCCAAGGGAAGCCAGATGGGGTGATGTAGGAGGCTGGAGGGGCTGGGCTGGACAGAGCCCCTGTTCCCACTTACATGTCTTCCTGCCATTCTCTGAACACATCTCGGACCCCTTTAGCTGGGTTCCCTCCTCCCCTTTTATGATTCCAGATACATAGCTGTAGTGTATCTGTAGTTCCAGGTCCACGGCTATAGTGAACTGTAGGCCCAAACAGTTGAGGCAGGTGAGGTGTCTCTGACAGGCCAGAAGCTGTTACCTTGTGATCAGCCTTGTTCCAGCCCAGGACCTCTCTGGGGCCAGGGAGCCCTGAGATAGGCTGGCTCAAGGCAGCAAGACCCCCAGCCCTGGGCTACAAGCTTGATCCTTTCCACAGGTAAAGCTCTGGAGGCTGCCAGAGCCTGGCCAGGCCCTGCCCTCAGCACCTGGGTTGGTGCTTGGTCCTGAGGAGCTGCCAGTGGAAGTACTGCAGTTCCACCCCACTGTGGATGGCATTCTGGTGACTGCAGCAGGGAGGGCTGTGAAGGTCTGGGATGCGGCCAAGCAGCAGCCCCTGACAGGTAAGGGCCACCCTGGCTCCCATTCCTGGAGCAGCCTCCATCTGGACAGCCCTTCCATTCCTTACTGATCTTTTTAGTAACATGAATTTGAAAATGCATACCAAGGCTGGGGTTGTAGCTCAGTGGTTCAGTGCTTGCCTAATATACATGCATGGTGATACATGCTTATAAACCTAGCTACTCAGGAGGCTGAAGCAGGAGCATCACAAGTTGAAGGCCAGCCTGGGCAATTTAGTGAGACCTTGCCTCAAAATAAAAAATTAAGAGGGCCGGGGATTTAGCTCAGTGGCGCTGTACCTGCCTGGCAAGCACAAAGTCCTGAGTTGGATCCCCAGTACTGAAATAAATAAATAAATAAATAAGAAAAAAGGCTAGTGGGGATGTAGCTCAGTGTGAGGCCCTAGAATCCACCCCCAGTGCTGCAAAAAAGAAAAAGAAAAAGGAATTTTAAAAGAATGTATCAAAGTTTGATAGGTACACAGTGTAAGTTCTACAAACACCCTCTCCTTCTCTAGTCCCATGAGGTATCTCTCAGCTATTTTTTTCTGTTTTCTTCCATTTTTGTAAATAACTTCCTTACATTGTTACTTCTTCAAACTGTTTTCAGCATTGAAAGGAACTGCTTGGCTCCCCACTCTGGAGAATTTGTGGTGTAGAGCAGCCCTTCCCACATGTTCATCCTTTTTCCCATAGAGAAGGTCACAGCACAGGGTCGGATTCCTCAGTGTTTGAATGATTTGACTGTTCATGTGACTTACAGCTGAGCCCTGTGGTGTACTTTGATGACATCACACGGTCCTTTCTGCAGAGTGTCCTCCCTGACCTGCCTGCGTGTTTTGGAGGTAAAGACATGGATGCTCAGGGAATTGAGGAGCATACTGTCCCCAGATTGCTGCGCAGTGTTTGGGGGGTGAGCTCACTCTCTAGCCCTGGGAATGAGGTTCTGGCCCCTGCCCTAAAGGACCATTAGCCCAACCAGCGTCCTTGGGAGCCCCTCTTGATACACCAGCTACTGAGAGTTTAGCCAGTACCCACCATGGAGTCATACACTGCAGGGGATGGGAGATTTGAAATATATAAAGTGCAGGACTTGCTGGGAAGAACACTGGGGAAGCCTTTGAGACCAATCTGACTGAAGCAGAGGTGAAGGTGACCAGACCTTCTGTCTGCATTGGAGGTGACCCTAGCTAGCTGTAGCTACCATGTCTCAGGGTCTTCTCATGTCTGGCTCTGTGCTGAGGGATTCACACCTCCTCTGTACATCTGTCTGCAGTTCCAATGGCCCAGACTGAGCTTAGGAGTTTAAATAACTTGGCCAAGTCCATGGTGTATATAGCAGAGTTGAGATCAGTCCCATGGGAGTGACTTTTGGTGTAGTGGTTATCTATTGCTTTGGAACAAATTACCCCAAGATATAAGTGCATCTCATAGTACCTTAAGGGACAGGGATGTCAAGGTGGCCAAGCTGGGGGTTCTGCCTCAGGCCTTTTACCAGGCTGCCATCATCTGAAGGCTTGCCTGGGGCTGGAGAAGCTATGTCTAGGATGGGATTCACTCAGAGGTGCTGGCTTTGGCAGGAGGCCACTGTTCCTCTCCCGTCTGGGCCTCTTTTTTTTTTTTTTGGTACCAAGGATCGAACTTGGGTCCTTGCGCTTGCGCAGCAGAGGGCAAAACCACTGAACTGAATCCCCGGCCCCATCTGGAGCTCTTGATGGCTGCCTGAGTGCCCTCACAACATGGCACTGGCTTCCCCAGCGTGGTACCAGACGGAGGAAGTGAGAGAGTACACAGAAGGAGGAAGCACACCATTGCTCTCACCAGATAATCTTTGCTAGAAGTGAGTCACTAAATCCTGCTCACAGTCATGAGTGCAGGTGTACTTGTTTCTTAGGAAGAACTGTCATAGAGATTTGTCCTCCCATAATTATGGAGGTTAAAAGTCCAAGGTCAAGGTATGGGCAGGGCTGGCTCCTCCTGAGGCCAAGGCAAGATCTGTTCCAGGCCTCTCCTACCTTCTGTGTCCTCAGGTCCTCTACTTGTGGGTGACTGTCATCTCTCTACTTCTTTGTGTCACCTTCCCTATGTACATGTCTGTCTGCTTTTTTCCTTCAGTACTGGAGATTGAACCTAGGGCCTTAAACATATGGTAGGTAAGTGCTGTACCACTGAGATGCTTCCTCAGCCTTTGTTAAAAATATATTTTGTTTGTTTGAGAGAGAGAGTCTCACTGTGTAGTTTAGGCTGGCCTTGAACTCTAAAAGTTATTTTGAGACAGTGTCTTACTAAGTTGGCCAGGCTGACCTTGAACTTGTGATCCTCCCGCCTCAGCCTTCTAAGTAGCTGGAATAGTAGGCAGGTACCACTATCCATGGCCTGTCTCTATGTTTCAATTTCACCTTTTCATAAGGATACCAATCACTAGATTACAAAGTACCTTTTTTTTTTTCCTTTGGTGCTAGAAGTTGAACCCAGGGCCTCAAGCATTCTAAGCATGCACTGTACCAGTATACTTCCCAGCCCCAGAGAAACTATTTCCAAATAAGATCACATTTCACAGGACCTACGAGTTAGAACTTAAAGAGTTTTTTGGGAAACATTCATCATATGACAGGAAGAGTTTCAGAGAACATGTGGACTTATTTCAAAACACCTGCATGAGGAATTGGGGAGCACAGATGACAGCAGCAGAGCCCTGGGTGGGGAGGATATGGCAAGTGAGCAGAAGTGAGCCTGGGTTGGGGGTGAGGGCCAGGCCAAGGACTAGGGAGCCTTGAAAAGTTGTGTAAAGACGCGGCCTCACAAGTTCAGGGTTGAAGGTGAAAGCCTGAGGGTGCAAACTGTTGCTCTACCTGCTCCCTCCTGGCTGAGAAGGACCCTTGGTGCTGCCTTTGCCCAGGGAGTTACCCTGAACCAGGCCTGACCTTCACTTCCCTGGTTCCCTCATCACCGGGCCCTGACCTTGGCTGCTTCCCCACAGAGCTGGTGGCCCATGGGGACCTAGTGCAGAGCGCCATCTGGAGCTGGGACGGAGCACTCGTTGGCACTGCATGCAAGGTAAGTGGGCAGTGAGAGCCTGCTGGGCTCTGTCTGGGGCCAGCTCAGGTCCTGGGTCTGGCACTGTACCTTCATGGGGCCAGAGGCCACTGAGGTCAGGATGGGCGTCTGTGAGCTCCACGCTGCAGCTGGGCTCTGTCAGATGGAGGCCGGAGGGGAGCCCCTACGCTGCCCCTGCTGCTCCCTGGTCTGCCATTTGACTCCATTCACAATTTCAGCCACCCTCACCCCATGTGTCTAGTTTGTCCAAACAGCCTTCCTCCCACTGAGGCTTATGTTCAGCAGTGTCCTTATCCAGGGCTCGAGGCCTGCCGTGTGTTGGTAGGGCTGCCGACTTGCATCAGGGGCGGTACTGACGAGAGGACTGCTGTAACTTGTGACTGATCTCTGAAAGAGACATGGTGTGAGCAGGGTCTGAGAAACAGAGCTCTGAAGAAAAAGTTAAACCTGGAGATGAGGAAGGGAGAGTGAGCCTGCTGGGTGGAGACAGCTGCTGATGCAAATGCCTGGCTGTGCACCTGGAGAGACTGGTGCTGAGGCTTCACATGAAAGGATGTGCTTATTGCCAGAGAAGGCAAGTGATGGTATGAGGTGAACAGATTTGCAGTTGGGACGCTCCCATCACTGCCTTGTGGACAGAGCGTGGCGGGGGTGGACAGTCTGAAATGAGATGTGGCCTGGGCCTGGTGAGACATGCCTGTAATCCCAGTACTCTGGGAGGCTGAGGCAGGAGGACTGTAAGTTGGACAGTTACCCAGCCTGGGCAATTTAATGAATTGTGACTTAGTGAGACCCTGTTTTAATTTTTTTTTTTTTTTAAAGGCTGGGGATATAGGTCAGTGCAAAGACCCTGGGTTCAATCCCTAGGACCCTTCCCAAATGAATGTAGAACAGCCTGGGTGGGGGAGGGCAGGAAGAGGATCTTTTTAGCCAGAGGGGACTGAGACACAGGTGGGGTTGGGGGGGGAGACCCTTGGGAGGAGAGAGCTGAGCCCTTAATGGTGGAGTGGGTGTGAGGAGTGGGTGCTTGTGGCTGGTCCTTGGTTCCCCTACCAGCCCCACAGTGAGACAGCTGTGTGCAGTACGTCCTGGGGCTGGGGGAAACATCTGGTGTGAACGTTCCAGGCAGGGCTGCTCCCCAGGGGATTGTGTGTTGAGGTGGGGTGCTTGGAGACACTCCAGCAGAGGTGTCACCTTAGTCTGTGGAGAGTGGGGAGGTGGGTGTGGTTTGTGCTAAGGAGGAAGGATCGTAGTCTGCAAGGAGAAGGTGTGAAGGCTATAGCTAAGACAAGGTTAGGACGTGGAACCTAGGACAGAGGGTTCCCCAGAGCAGGATGGAGGGTCATGGGGGACATGAGTGACCCTCAGGACCATTATGGCACTGTGCTGAGCCTGAAGACATTAGTGAAGGTTGAGAGGGGAGGAAGAAGGAGAGGGGCTGCCAGGGGAGGGGAAAGATGGGGCCCTTCTGAAGCAGGGAGGTGACCAGCTGTGGACACCCCCAGGCACATGGTCGGTACACTCAGAGAGACCCTATTTCCAGTGTTCTTTTCTGTTCCTTTTTGTAGGGTACATTTCCCAGTCTTTATCAAGGTTTTTTTGGTTTTGGTTTTGGTTTTGGTTTTGATCTTGGTTTTTTGAGTCTCACTATGTGGCCGAGGCTGGCCTTGAACTTCTAGCAATCCTCCTGCCTCAGCTTCCTGAGTGCTGTGATCATAGGCATGTGCCACCAAGCCTGGCTACTTTTTCCAATATTGTTCATTAAGCAGAAGGTTCCAGATGCTGACCTGAACTCTGTGGTTTAAGAAGTAATAAGCTGGGCTGCCAGCCCCAAGAGCCCCTGGTATGCTTGCTCAGGTTTAACCTTAGTGGGGATGACTTCTCAAGGAAAGTGAGCTGAGAGGATAAGGCCTGGGTGAGGAGGAGACGGGTCCCAGACAGGGACCAGCCCTGCATGTGGACCATGACCTCTCCTACCTGCAAGCAACTGGCTTAGCCCCTTTATCATTGCTGTGGGGTCCAGCTTCTCCTTCCTTTGGGTCTGAGCCCCATTTGTCACCAGAACTGGTTATCGACAGATAAGGAACAGCTGTGGATGACAGCAGTCCTGCCACCTCCTGCAGTGAGGCACCTCCTTTCCTTGCCTGCGGGCATCCTGTGAGGCAGAGGTAGAAGTCTGAGCCCAGTGGACTGCTGCTGTTTGCCTAGGTGGAAGTGTTTCCCCTCTAGACCCAGAGTTTAAAGCTGAGGGAGATAAGAAGCACAGATTTCTTAAGCAGGTGATGGGAAAGGGTGTGGGACAACTCCTGCTCCTGCCGTATTCCTAGACCCATGCCTGGATCCTGCATCCACTGGCGCCTTCCCTTGCTAGAAAAGTCGTTGGGTTGGGTGTGGTGCTGCATGACTGTAATCTCAGCCCTCAGAAGACTGAGGCCAGAAGATTGCCCTGAGTTTGAGTCCAGCCTGGGCTACATAGTAGGATTGGAGCCTGCCTAAACTACATATCAAGACCCTGTCTCAAAAAACGAAAAGATGCCTTAGGATCTTGGGTGGGGGCACCAACAGTGATACCTTTGCAGTGTGGTCCTGGAAGGAGGCCACCTTGTGACTGTAAGCCAAGAGGCTTGCCTTAAGCATGTGTCAGGAACTGGAGGGTGTGCCCTCCCCCAGCAGGGGGGACCTGAGTCCCTTTGTTTTTGTTTATTTGGTTTTGGTTTTTTGAGACAGGGTCTCACTGTGTAGCTCAGGCTGGCCTTGAACTCATAGTGATCTTCCTGCCTCAGCCTCCCGAGTGCTAGGATTACAGGTGTTTGCCACAACACCCAGCCTGAGTTCTTCTTTGCTATTGGTTGCTGGGCTGGGCTCTGGCTGCTTTTAGGGCTGGCTGATTTGGGCCTGTGTGGGGATGTGCTGTTTCCTGTAAGAGCATGTCCTCCCCTCTGTCAGAGCGTGTCCTTTTCTTGGCAGGAAGACTTTAACCCCGGATCCCACTCCTGTCCTGCCATTTTTATCATGGGGCAGCTGTGGCTCTCAGAACCACTGAATCCCTTATGGCTCCCCTTTCCTCCAGCCTGAGGGAAACAGCAGGTGCCCGCTAGGGGGCGTGCCAGTCTCGTGGATAGCCATCCTTGGCCAGTTGTGCTCTCCACAGCCCTGGTCCTGCCTGGTGAGCCCAGTAAGGACAGGGCCACTGCAGCCCATTTCACCCCCTGTCCAGACCAGAACAGCCTCAGGACACACTCTGATTTGAACCCAGCCTTAAGACACTGCACTCAGCTCAGCTGTTGGGATAGCATTTTCCCCGAGTGCTGAGAACTGTGTGTCGTCAGCCCGAGTACTCAGCTGTGGGAGGTGCCGCCACCATCCTCAGCATCATTCATCAGGCTCAAGGGTGCCCATGTCACAAGGCTCCATGGTGGTTTGAACCCAGGCCTCTATCCCCAGACAGCAGTTAGAATGGGAGGTGTATCTCTTGCCCTTGATCTCTACCTACTGTCTCTTCTGTCCTGTCTCTTTGTGTTCTTTTTTTTCCCCTCCAGTCCTGGGAATCGAACTCAGGACCTTGCACTTGCCAGGCAGGCATGGTGCTTCTGAGTTATATCCCAGGTCCTCGCTGAGTTCTTGATCGCCAGTTCCCTCTCCCTGGTTGGCTTCAAATCTGTCTTCACAGGTGTCCCTTGGTGTCTGTCACTGTCATTATCCTCTTTCTCTGTCCCTCATCGCCCTTTCTGCCCTCTCTGCTGTCTCTGGTTGTCCCTTTTCTGCCCCTTGCTGTCTCTGTCCTCTGTCTTTCCTTTCTCAGATGTGTGCTCCCTGTGTCTCACTGTGCCTCTGAACCTGAGCTCTGGAGTGGAGCTGCTTAGGAGCTGGCCCCTTGGCTGTGTGTGGAGGTGGCCTGGCATGTAGCAGGCACTCAGTGAACTGCACCTGGAAAGACTTTGCCGAGTGACACAGACCTTGGGGCCCTGTCTCGTGTGTCTGGGAAGCCTGGTTTTCAGGCCCTCTTGGGGCTGGCCTCTGCCTCATGCGGCCCTGTGCCTGCCTCCTGCCCCTCCACTCTCCCCATCACCTGGCCTTCTTTCCTTTTGGCAGCGTATACTAGAGTTTCCACATCTTTGCTCATGCTTGTCCACCTTCCCTGAACAACTTTTCCTCTCCAGGGAAAGCTCTGCTGGTCCTTCAGGGTCCCACAGGACCACTTTGGCTACAGAGTCTAGCCCTTGACTACAAGCGCTGAGGTAGCTGGGCCTGGTTGCTCAGTGCTCTGTCCAAGCACTGAGGTGGGGGCTGCACATGAAACAGGTATTCACTTGAATCCAAGACATTCACATTGAGCTCCATCCCCACCTCCACCCTTCACCCTCAGTGTCTTCCTCTCTCTCTCTTTTTCATTCTTTCTTTTTTTTTTTTGGTACCTGGGATCGAACTCGGGTCCTTGCACTTGTGCAGCAGGCCGTGAAACCACTGAGCTAAATTCCTGGCCCATCTCTTTTTCTTTCTTTCTTTTGCAGTTCTAGGGCTTGAACCCAGGGCTTTGTGCATAACAGACAGGCTCTCTACCACTGAGCTACATCCTTTTGTCTTATTTTTAGCTAATAGATTTTATTTTCTAGAATAATTTTACAGAAAAATTGAGCAAATAGTACAGAGATTTTTTTCATGCCTCTAACCCCACTTTCCCTATTATTTAACCTCTTACATTAGGGTGGTATGTTGTTGGAACTGATGAACCAATATTGATAGATTATTAACTAAAATCTAGTTTACCTTAGGGTTTACTATATTTTGTGCATTGTCTATTTTGATAAGTATATGTCTACTGTTACAATATTATACAGAATAATTTTGCTGTCCTACAGTTCATTCTCCTTCCCTGCCTCTCCCTAAAAGACTGACAAGCACTGATCTTTTTGCTGTCTCTATGGAATTTGCCTTTTCCAGAATGTCAGTAGTTGGAATCATGCTATGTATGTGGCATGTTTATGTGTATATACTGCAGT